AACTCTCTGATGATCATCGTTTCCAACGTGTGAATGTTGCTTCGTCTTTTCTGGCGTGTAATGTGCATGAACCATTTTTGGACAGAATTGTCAACGGTGCTGAAAAATGGATTCTCTATGCGAATATTAAATGCCAAAAACAATGGCTCAGTCCTAGACAAAAACCACTTCTGACCCCAGAACCTGGACTCCATCCGCATTTGCTGGGACATCAATGGAGTAACTCATTTCAAACTCCTCAATCCACAGCGAACTGTCAATGCAGAGATCTATAGTCAGCAATTGGAACATTTAAATCAAGTCCTTCACTCATCAATCGAAAAGGTGTTCTTCTTCTCCATGACAATGCACATCCACATGTGGCACGTTTGACAGAACACAAGACTATGGAGTTGGGTTGGGAAGTTCTCCCTCACCCACCATATTCTCCAGATATGGTACCATCAGATTATCATCTTTTTTGTTTGCTGTAACACCATCTTAATGGGAAAATGTATGCAAATGTGGAAGGTGTTAAAAAGGACATCAACATGTTTTTTTTTTGCTTCAAGGCCAAGTGATTTCTTTAATCAGGGTATTAACAACCTGTTTGTAAGATGGAAAAGCATAATCAATAAGAATGGAGACTATTTCATTTAATAAATGTTTTGTCTTGATATACATGTTGTTTGGGTTTTTTCATCTAAAAAAAAGTGACATTAATTTCTTGATTACCTAATAGGTAATATAAATATTTTAATTATATGCTGTGTTCTGATGCCACGTTTATTGACATTTATTGATAATAATGTTGTTTAACCCTTTCACAGTATAGTTAGATTTCACAGTTAGTTCCCAGTTAGTGTCATTTCTCCATCAAAAAACATTGTAACTTAGCAGTATATTTCATTTTATTTTGCTTTATGATATATAAGACACACTTACATTGCATATCTTGACATAGTGGCAACAATAACTTACTTAAATTTTGGTAAAAACATAGAGAAAATATGACAATCAGTTGATATCTCTGTGTGTGGGTGCCTTCCACCATCTGCTGGCTGGGACTCCAGCTGAGGGATTGTTTATACATGTGTTTTCTGCTCATGCTCCCACATTTCAGCACACTGGTGCTTGATGGTCAATTCAAGCATTTGGAGGGTTGTTGCTTTCCACTGTACAGGGAAAAAAATTTTGACAGCCATGGAGAAAAGTCGATCACTTCTGTCAGTGAAAATTAATCATTTGTCAGCTATTGTCGCTTCCTGCAGTGAAAGGATTAATTAAATTTTGAATATAACTCTGTAAAACGTTACTATTTGACAAAGTCTCTATGGAGCTAATGTTAGAAATCTGGGCAGAGCACAGATAACCCATTGTGTAGCTTTGTGCTTACCTACAAACAAACAAACTGTACAGAGCACACATAGATAAGATTATTAAAACATTATATTTTAATACGGTACTTCACCCTGTAGTTTCTTTTTATGTAAGAACTTGTACTAGTGAGTTTAAAATTAGATATTTATGCCTAACTCATCTTATTGCATGAGAACCAAATATTTTCTAATCATATTACAAGTTTATAGTTCAGACAAAATATAAAATGATAAAGCAAGCTTTAAGAAATTGTAATTGTAGCTGAAATCTTTACAGATATATTGTCTTCTAGCAACATATCACTAAGCTAAGCTATTATAACTTTGTTCCAGTCTCTACACAAATTTCTACTGAACTGGAAGTCATATTAGTTCACATAGTTATAAAGAATGGAAAAAAACAGCTCTCAATACATGTTCATAGTCCCCTGGGGGTCAGTAGTAAGTTTAAAGAATTATAATACTAAAATCCAGGATTCGATTCCCTGCAGTAAACAAATCATTTGTTATTTACAGTAATTTTATGGAGAAAATATTTCTTGGTTTACTAGAGAAACTTATTAAATGTTTTTTAGAAATGCAAATTGTATCTTATGAAGTTTTACAGTTAGTCAGTTGGAAAAGGTTGGGTATTTGTGTTCTTTATTGACAATACTAGCTGTTGTTTTTTTTATTGATCTTTTTTGTTTTAGAAGTTATTCATCAAAGTTAAAAGTGAACAACCTGATGACTCATCTGGAGATGGTGTTATTTCCAAGTTTAATGAGAGTGGTGATGAAGTTGTTGATTGTTCACAACATGATTTTATGAGTTTAGAAAAAAAAAAAACCAAAAGAGGAGTTTCAACAAATTAACTCTGGATTAGAAGTTTTATCAAGTCAGTATAAACATGGTAAGAGTTATGTTCATTAACCATGTGGTATTAGGTACATAACTTAGTAGAAAAGTGTTATTTCTGTAAAGTTTCTATAGAATAAGCTACATAATAATACACAATTGACTTTAGGATGTATCCAGATTTGTAATAGATTTACTTGTTGATGCTCCTGCTGCATGAGTCCTTTGGTGAAGACTGCACTTGGACTGCTAAGATATTGTTACGACAGCAGAAGTCACATGACGCTGGGAGCATGTGCGCTAGAGTGTATAGAAGGATCATGACTTAACGAGGAACTCCGCGAATATCCGAGTGTTTGCCAGGTGCCCTCTTTTTTAGTATATAAGCCCGGCAAATAGAGTCTGAGATAGATAGATCGGAGATATAGATAATTAAGTCAAGCAAACAGTAGGCACTGTAAATAAAGTGTGTGAATCGCTGTGAATTATAGCGTGTGTTTATACAAGTAGTTAACTTAAAGTGACTGTGGAAATTCTGTGTATTACTAAAAGTTATATGAAGAAAGAATAAACTAGTTTCAATCAAGACAGGAGTTATATCGCTGAAGTTCTTTGGAAAGAATTTCTACCGGAAATTAACAAACAAGCAGATACGTAAAAAATTGGTGTCAGAGAGTGGGATGGAAAATAAAAATAAAATAAAAAAGAAGATGGAAACGAGAAGTGGCAAATCAAACTACGACTTAGCAGATTTGATGGCAGCAATACAAGAACAGCAAAAGAAACAAGAAGAGAGATTACAGCAGTTGTTGGAGGAAAAAGAAAAGAAACAAGAAGAACAAGAATAGAAACAAGAAGAGAGACAACAGCAGTGGCAAGAAAACCTGCAACAGTGGCAGCTCGAACAGCAAAATAAACAAGAGAAATTACAGCAGTTGTTGGAGCAAAAAGAAAAGAAACAAGAAGAGAGACAACAGCAGTGGCAAGAAAACCTGCAACATTGGCAGCTCGAACAGCAAAATAAACAAGAGAAATTACAGCAGTTGTTGGAGCAAAA